CACAGAAGCGGTGGCGGGGTTGACAGTGGACCAGTATGGGATGGTCTACAAAGTGGCAGTGCCACCCGCCACCTTCTCCCCCACGGGTCTGCACCCCGTGGTGAATGTGAGCCCCCTGCCCCCTGCCTTCAATGTGACCTCGCCAATAATCCAGCACCCAGGGGTGCCCTACCCTCCCATCCACTATGCGCAGATCCCTCCAACATCCCTGCAGTTCATCGGCTCACATTACACAGTGCCCTATGCTGTCCCTCCTGGCTTCCTGCCTAGTCCTCTCCTGTCTCCTTCCACCAATCTCACCACCTCACATGTCCCCCACTTTGTGCCATATGCCTCTCTCTTCACGGAAGAAGCCGCTCCATCCCCCCAGACTACCTCTCCTACCCACACCTTCAACAAATCTGCTTCTGCAATCTCTCCTTCTGGCCAGATGCAGCACCACGCTGGGACCCAGCCATTAGATATTGCACCAGGTAGAATTCCTGTCTATTATCAGATGTCCCGCCTCCCACCAGGGTATTCAGCATATGAGACACCTACAGCAGGTGGAAGCCCAGAGTCTCCTCAGCAAGACAGTCAGCTGAGTTCAGAGGTAGCTGCTGCCAATGGTGGACAGAGACATCTGGAGCATAATGTGGTGAGGAGGACCAGCAAGGCTGTGGACTCTACCAACAGTAAAGCCGAAGACTGTCTGCCAGGGGCTGCAGCAGGATGTGTGGTCGATGGACAGTTCCTTTCAGGTTACCAGACGCTGGGAACAGAGGTCTCTGTGCCAGCTCACAGAAGCACCCCAGACACTGATCTGGAGGTTCAGAGGGTGGTGGGGGTGTTGGCATCTCAGGATTATCATATTCTGGCAGCCCAGAGGAAAGATGACCAGAGCCCTTTAAACCTTTGCCATAATATCCCTGATCAGCAGGGGGAGTCAAAGGACGTGCTGAGGAACACAGTGGAAAGGGCTGCTGCTGAGAAAAACCAGTCCAGGAGTCCGTATGTAATGTCCCCTGAAGAACCGGTTAGACAAAGACAATTAACCAAAGGAATGGTGTTAGCCAACGGCAAGCCAGTCCTGGTTCCCGTTGGATCTGAGCCCATCAGGTCTTCCACTTCAGAAACCCTGGTGAGGCGGAGCCCAGATGCACAGGCTCAAGGAAGCTTGCTTGAAAAGGACGCAGCCCAGCTGCAGCCACCCAGCTCCTCACACTTGCCCTCTCACTTCATGAAAGGAGCCATCATCCAGCTGGCTACAGGAGAGCTGAAGCGGGTGGAGGACCTGCAGACTCAAGACTTTGTTCGCAGTGCGGAGGTGAGCGGGGGCCTAAAGATCGACTCCAGCACCGTGGTGGATATTCAGGAAAGCCAGTGGCCTGGGCTTGTCACACTGCATTTTGTGGTTGGGGAGCAACAAAGTAAAGTGAGCATTGATGTGCCCCCAGAGCATCCCTTCTTTGTGTATGGCCAGGGTTGGTCCTCCTGTAGCCCAGGGCGGACTGCTCAGCTCTTTGCTTTGCCTTGTCACAGGCTGCAAGTGGGCGACGTCTGCATATCAATCAGTTTACAGAGCATGAATGGCAACTCCACTTCTCAGGCTAACTACCCTCTCACAGATCAGTTGATATCTACCAGGGAGAGATCTGAAAGAACAGCTCAGCAGTCCAGAGAACCATCTGACAGAGCTGCTGAAAGGAAGAGCCACACAGATAGGGACAGCACAGCCCAGAGCTCTCATGCAGAACCCTCTCAGCCTGAGATTGTCAGTCAGCACAGCTGGACAGCCCCAGGCTTCCAAAGATACAGCATGCAGGCAGAGGAGTCTCGGTCCTCTCTGCTCCGTCCTTCTTTCATTCCCCAGGAGGTCAAGCTGTCTATCGAAGGGCGTTCTAATGCAGGGAAATGATCCCTTTGAGGCTGTAAGCTAGGGCATCCCCTGTAGGTGAGCCTTGCCATCAGGTGGAGAAATTGCACAGACTTTGTGACAGGTTCACCAGCAAGGCTGCTTTCTGCCCTGCAGGACTGGATTCATTCCAGTTCAGTGGCTGACCAGTTCCTCTTGGGGAATCAAGAGGGCTCCAGTGCCTCAGGGAGCAGCAACAGGCTAGCTGGGGTAGAGAACACGGATGTGCTCATGAGCTTGCAATGAGAGCATTCCAGAGGTTGGAGGCTGGGGCTTTCTCACCCCTCCTTGAATAACTGATTCCCTGCAGGGCAGGGTCTAAGCATTCAGGATAGGTGGGGAGATGAGGAGGGCAGGCATGGCTTAAGGTAGCAGATAAAATTGCTGAAGATTTTATTCCTCCTTTCTCATGATGGGGAGAGATGGGTCCCCATCGGAGTTTAGGGGGCTCCACTCCCAGTATCCCTTTTCTTCACACATGCACTTTAAAAGGACCGTTCACCGACGGAGCTCTTGAGGGCAGCACAGAGATGCTTCTCTGGTGGTTCTGTTTAATGTCTCTTCCACTGAATCCAACTGCTCTTTCTTCTTGCAAAGAATGTACAGATTTGAATGAATCACAGAAATTCAAGAGGAAGGACCAAAAGGATGGGTTTGGGTGTAGGTGAATAGGGAACTTGAGCACTTGGGATGGGACACGAGTTGGGATGAGAGATGCTATAAAATACATTTAATTAATTGCCACCAAATCAAATCTTCCCATGTTAACTTTAAAAAAAAATACATATCTCTTGAGCTTATAGCTTTTGCAGAGGCATAGCCTATGGGTGAATGGGGTTGGGTTTTTTTGTTTGGTTGGACTTTCGGTTTTGGTGTTTCGGGTTTTTTTTAAAGCTGGAGTAAAATATATTTAGCGTTCTCTAGGGAAGGATGGAAATACATCTTTTTTTCTGTGAGAAGACCGACACTATTTTCTAATTAAATCAGAAGAAAACTTTCCAGATGGCAAATTCTTCCTTGCAGGCAGTTTCCTGAATAAGCTCTAGACAACAGATGAGTGTTTGTGCATATGCAGGCAAGGTACAAGTTTCTGCTAAGTGCAGTTCTATGATTAATGTAGGGACTCTAAAAATACCACAGCATCATAGGGCGTTTCGGGGTGGTTTTGTGTTAGTTTTTCTGATGCTCCACCTTGGAGTTCCTCTGTAGAACAACATGGTAAAATCAAGAGTAGTCTTTTTCATGGTGAGATTTAATACAAATGTATATTAATACCTTGTTATGGTAGTAACACTCCATTCAAGTGAAGGCTCCTGTAGTTTCACTAATTTGCCCTCTCTGACAGTGTGTTATGATACCAGTTACACTGCTTAGCTAAAGTAAAAAATAGTCACTCTTATGTTGACGATAAGAGTCTTCACTGACGTAACTTGGGTTAAGTATTCCTTGTATTAAGGTGCCCATCTCTGTGCTAGGACCAGGCTTTTGAGAGGTTTTCTTTTCAGTGTGCAGGTCCCTGCTACAGTTCTGATGCTGCTCCTGATGTTCAGCATACCGTTTTCCATCTACCCTCTCTCATCTTCCTGAAGTTTTCTGTCAGGCCTGCCTGACTGCTGGGGCACTGCTGCTCTCTTTCCCCAAATGGCTTGTGTGTCAGCACCTCTCGGCATAGCCATCCTTTGGTCAGCTTGCAGTGGTGGTGTCTCAGGGCTGTTCTGCACACTCTCCTGGAATGCGTGCTGTAACTGGTTGGCTTCAGTTGACTGTGTGACAGAGGGGTGCTCTGCCTGGGTATTAGGCAAATTAGAGCATCTGCAGAATGTCCCTTCCATCCAGGCCATCAGTCCTGTTTTCCTAGCACATTGCTAGCCATTTCTGTTGCCTTTGAAATGCCTGCACCAGGAGGACAGTTTCTTTTCAGGCCTTAGGTGAGATATGCGCTACTCATGCCTTCAGTGTTTGTGCCTCCTGGGGGTTTCTCCAGAAGGAGGATGCTGCCTGTATCACATGTAGCTCCCCCCAAATGACACACTGCTTCAGGTCTCATCAGCTGCATTTGAAATGTTTGGATGCAGCAGCTGTGGGAACAGATGCTGTTTTCATGGCACCATTTTGCAGTAAAATGTACTGTCTGGACCCAGGTGCCTGGCCTCATCACCTTGTGTGTTTCACAGTTGCTATTCATTGGACTCTCCTACGCAAAGACCTCGATTAATGTTGGTTAGTACTTAATGTTTAGGATATCCAGGGTGTCTGTGGCCAAAGGCAGAAGGTGGAGGAGCCCAAGTTCTCTTGCCTGTTCTTTGCACGGTGCATGCGGAGGAATTCAGAGCTGTGGCAGGCAGCTAAGAAAGGGATCTTGTGTACGTATGGCGTGTGAACGTAGACAGGCTGGTTGCATGCATAGAGGGAATGTCTGAGCAGCTGAAGGGTGCAGAGCCCCTCATGCTTCTTCGAACACAGAAGTCTCTGTCTGTTAGAGAGAGGGTTTGGAGAGCCTGTCTTCTCTCATGTGTGTTACTGTAACTACTGCTCCTAGATCTCAACTGCACTAAGCAGTGGTCTGAAAGGGCAGAAACTGATGTATGAGGCAAGATGCTGTGTGGTGAAAATAGCTTTGTACTGTAGGCAGCTGAAGGGCTGTGAAGGTGCTCACCATGGTGTTTACCTGGCCGCTGGCCTGGACTTTGGCTAGCTGCGCATTTGTTGAGTGCGGTTCTGAGCTCTGTGGAACAGGCCAGGGTGAATTTGACCTCGGTGCTTCTATCCAGACTCCCTGCGAGTTCCACTGTTGTGCATGTTTCAGCTGCCAGCTCTTCTATAGAAGCAACGGTTTGGGGCACATCTCATGGCGGGACATTGAGATGAAGAATCTGGGCATCTGGCTGCTGGCCTCACAAAGGTGATGGGAAGAAAGGGGCCACTGGCAGCCCTCTAGCCCAGCTTGGCAGTGCTCGTAATCACTGGAGTTTGTCTTTACTGGGTTGGGCTGTGTTGCTCAGCGCCTGTGGTGGTGGTTGTGTTGACCATTGAGGCTCTCCCGAGATAGGGAGTGTGTGAGACAGGCTCTGCTGCAGGCAGAAAGGATATAAATGAGCCCATGGAGGAGGCTTTTATTTCTTAGGTTTACAGGGAAAGGATGAGATAAAGCCAGGAAGACATTGTGGAATGAGATGGTTATCTGGGCTTTTCTGCTGGCAGAGATGTGACAGGCTTCTCAGAGGAATATACTTTTTCCTGCTGCTATTGTGGAGGGGGGGCATAGCTGTGGTCTGTGCTACTCAGAGGAGGAGGCCTCCTGGCCTTGGTCTTATCCAGCTCACACTCTGTGGCAAGAGTCTGTAGGATGCAATAATGGGTGTCTGTAGCCATCTGTCCCATCTCATGAAACTTGCCTTGGGTCGGCTGCCCAGCAGAGGCCGGGCCTGTTTCCAGGCCCTGCATACACTGTTGCTCCAGGAACATGAGACTTGCTCCAAGCGACGAGCGCTCATCACTACCAGACTATGCAGAGGAAGCTCTGTCTGGAAAGAAGGAAGGCTGCAGAGGCCCCTCTGCCTCCCCTTTCCAGCAGGTGCGCAAGTATAATGCACTTTTCACATTAAGTGTCCCTGCCCCCCCCACCCCCACCCTACACTTGAAGTCACTTTCCCCCGTAGAAAACTAACAATCCTTGTTACTCAGAAAATATTGTGAAAGAAACTACAGCAGCTTGAGTAGCCCAAATGCTAGTTCCTGCCCACAGCAGTACATGTGCCTTTCCCTAGTGTCACTCACAACTGCTCTTTGTCTTTCAGGCTGTCCTAGGGCCTGAAACTTTGCAGAAGCTGCTAATATGGCTACGAATGCACATTCTGTACAGAGTTTGGCCCAGGGTGTGTTCCATGTATGGCTTAAAATGCTGATGGTCAAGGCCCTTCCACAGTCTTCACATCTGTCCACGGAGGACAGGACTTGCCCCTAACGTCCTTCTAGGCTGCTGCCACCCCACCTGGCAAACGCACCCATGCACATTCTAGTTGTTTTCCGCTCTCATGGCACCTTAGCGCCAGGAGAGGGTCTGCCCATGCAAAGCAGAGAAACAGACGTGTCGTGTCGTGCTGGGGGAACCGGCTGGGCTGCCCTGAGGCAAGGAGGTCTTTGTAGATAAGTGCTGATCCCTCAACTATAATCCCAGTTATGTAATGGCTGTATTAACGTGTAACCGACCGCATTGTATCTAAAGCCTTAGAACTAGTCAGGTGCTCCCCTCCAACCTTGTTCCTGCCCCTTTCCTCCTACCTGATCTTTAACAAAGCATTAATAATTCTAAGGATAATCTCTATTTTGTTGTGCTTTTTTTGTAACTGTTTTAAATAAATCAATTTGTACTGTATATTTGTACTTTTGGTGAGATCCTTTTTCCTGTTTTACCATTTTAAGTCTGTACTTGGCTACACACAGATTGTATTTTTATTGTTAATGCTCTTATGAATATTGCATTTAACTTGTTGACTCTGTAAACACAGTATATATCTATATATATATCTATATATAAACCAATAGCTTTTCCTTTGGTGTTTGAGACTTTTTGCTTGTCTGTAGCCTTAGTGACCATTAGGATGTAGCTTCTCTGGTCTTATACAGAGTGATCTGGAGACTAGCGACAAGGGCAAGGTAAAGGCTGATCGATGGATTATAAGCCATAATTCTGTGTTCAAATACTTTTACTTTTATATGATCTCTTTCTTGAACCCGTTGGAAAAACATTCAGGTGCCAGTGATGCTGCAGGGAAAGTTTCAGCTACAGTTTGCAGAGTGAAGCTACATCTCTGCTGGCCAAGCAAAACACACAAGGTAGAGCAACAGCAAATACTGCAAGAAGCACGCTCTGTCGGTTTGAGTATGAAAATGGACAGAGGTAAGAATAAAAGTGAGAGATCAGTTCAGAGAACAAAGGAGAATACAAACAAGGTAACATGAAACTGAATAGATCCTTTCCAGATCTGGTGCCTTTTCCCAAAGTGAGAGAGGCAAGGATGGCTCCTGAATGTCAGGTCTGTATGAATGGTATGTTAAAACAGCTTCTGTAAGGTGAGGAAACAAGATGTTACAGTGGCATGTGGAGGAAATTTTAGTGTTGAAAAGATTAAATGCTTTTTGTAGAAATCGTCCACAAGACTGTCTGTAAGGTTAGTTCATCATCATGAAGAAAATGCAACATTATGCACTTTGAAGGAAACTATTGTAAGCCTTAACTGGAGCGGTAAGGCATTAAGGGACTTCAATCAAAAGTTTTTCAAACTGAAAAAAAGAGGGAAAAATCAGGTTTCTAAGTAGTCTGGCCAAAAGGGTTTCCTTCTATTTTAACTTTACTCTTCTGATATCAAGTAGGAGCCTTGTGGTCACCATTTCTGACTTCATGCAGAGAAACAGCCATTGGAGAGAAGACAGTAGGTCCCAATGCATTTAGACCACCATGTAACTGTAGCGCAGCTCTTAACTGGAAATGCTATGAAAGCAGTAGGGGTCTTCAGGCTACAAAATATAAATATGTGGCACACCAGTGTTTGGTGGGCCGATGTTTAGAAACCACAAAGCTACAGGATGCATTTTTAGATGCTCGTTCATGAAGAAGCCGTATAACGGACAATGTACCACCCCTTTGCTCCCCCATGAGTCCTTCTGTGCTAATGTTTTGCCTTGTCCCATTTAAACATGCCTAGATTTAATTTCCATAGTTGCACAGTTTCATGACGATTTCTATTAGCAATGGGAACTTTTTCATATAGGTACAGACAATGATCACATTTCAGCTTGGATACCTCTTGAATAAACTAAAGAAAGCTTAAATTCCCTACCCTCTGGCAGGTTCTTCCAGACTCTTATTGTCGCTTTCCATGACTCCTCCTCAGCTCACCCTTTTTTCACATTCCTCTCATTGGTTTTGCTGCTGAGTGTGGAAGCAAAAGCAACACCTCTACCTGTGTGGTTCCGTTTACTAATGGTCCCCCCTCACCCCACAGTGTTATCTGCAGTGAACACTGAAAATCACTGTTGGTCACAGAGGAATTTATGATGAGAATGAATTAACTTGAGTGCGATCCATGGTCCTAGATGAGCAGTGTTGCATTTGACTGTATTTAAATGGTGGAACAAGCTCAGCTTGCTGTGAAGTCACAGAGTCACAGAAAGGTTGAGGTGGGAAGGGACCTCCGGAGGTCACCTGATCCCACCCCCCCCCCCCCA